TACTAATAGTCTCTGTATTAGGGCTCTTTACCAATTGTAGAATTATAACCATTATGCTGAACTGCAGTCATCTTACAGATTTGATTCACTATCAACATGAAACACATTAGCATTTACCTAAATTAAAAGCATAATAATGACTAACGCAAGTTATATATGCAGGCAAAAGGGTTAGTTAATTTAAACGAGTGTATTAATATTGCTATCATTTACTTAATATACACCCAGGCTTATGGTCAGCTGTGCCACAGAAAAATTGAAAAAGAAGAAATTTAAGCTTGGAAAAGGAAATATGACAAGGAAAATATATTACTAGCTCCATCTTTAAAGACTTGATATATTTTGAAAAAGATTTTATTCAGATTATGGATCAAAAAACTATGACTTACACAACTTAGAAATTATAAAAATAATAGTAATAATTTTATAAGTGTATCTTTCTTCATTCTAGAAAACAATGCTATTAAATTCTAACCAGTGAACAAAACATTTTGTGAATTAACTGAACCTCTATACACTGAAGTTACTATTATTCACCATTATCCTAGGATCTAAAAAAGTTGCTTAATCATTAAAAAATGGACATATTTGTCTGTTCACAATATACCTGAAGGTTTCCACGTCTGAGTTTCTCCAACCTCATAATAGTTCAGAACTCAGGGACATCTGGTCATTTTTAATTTTTAGAATTAAAAAACATAATAAACAAATGGAAAGGATTTCTGTGACATTCGATTTCCAGTGGAACTCACTCAACATAACTCAATCTCAGGGCACTGATAGAGTTTATTCACAAGAAAGGAACAACTATCCTACCGACTGCTGGTCTTCAGATGTTGGGGAACTAAACAAGGAGACAACACAGGAAGCACTCCCCACTCCCCTGCTACTGTCTTCTCTCCTTCCCTAAGCAACCAGACTGTGCAAAAAAGCTTCCATTCCTTGATCACTCCTTAAGACTTACACCTGGGGTCAGCAAACATTTTCTGTAAAGGGCTCAACAGTCAGTATTACTGGTTTTGAGTGCCATTCTGTCTCAGTCATAACTACTCAACTCTGCCACTAGTGTGATAACAGCTATAGACAGACAATATGCAAATGTATGGGCATGACTGTGTTCCAATAAAACTTTATTTACACAAACTGTCAGTGGGTCATTTTGATTTGAGGGCAGTAGTTTGCCAGCTTGTGCTCTATTCTAAAGTTGCTTCTATTTGGTCTTTCCTGGGTGCTCTGATTTACTGCAGTGGCTTTAGTTTCCATTTATGAGCCAGTAACACCATTTTTACTCATAAGGCCTGATTTCTCAGCTCCAAACTCAACCTGTTCTTGACAACCCCATACGTGTGTCCCACAGGCTCGATGTACTCTATAACAAAGTCTTCTCTTTCAAACGTATTCCTTATCTCGGTTATGACATTACCATCCCTGAATTTGTCCTTGCTAGGAATCTAGGACTTATTCTTCACTCATCCCTCTCTCACCTTTCACATCTTATAAAATCATCTCAAAATATCACTCAAAGCAGCCTACTTTCTTCCGTCCCTTCTGCCACCATCCTTATCCATGCCTTCATCTCTCTCTAAATTGGCCTCCCTGCATCCACTCCAGCTCACCTCCAAACTGCTCTCCACATGACAGCCAAAGTGAGTCTTTAAAAATGCAAGCACAATCATATCACCTCCGGCTTAAACCTCTTCAATGCCATCCCACTGTCCACAGGATAAAATCTAGACTCTTGAATCCAGCCGGCAAGGTGTGATCTGAGCCCCTGCCCGTGATCCCAACCTCATTTTTGCTACCCTTTCCTCTTAGACAACAGCCCCTCTGGCCCTCTTCCAGTTTCTCAAATGCATCAGGTTCTTACTTTTGAATATCCTGTTCTCTCTGCCTGGAATTTTCTCTCTTGTTATGCTACCCAAGACCTTTCACTTCTCACTGAGCCAACTCCTTATTCATCTTAAATGAAAGCCAGAAACCTCAGATCAAGCAAAAAATTAAGTTTTGACTACCAAAACATTTCAGTGCTTATACAGTAAAAACTAAAATTAAATAAATAGGTTAAAAGACAGAAAAAGTGGGAAAATATTTGTAACAGATTTAAGAGACAGAAAACTAATTCCTAAATATAAAAAGAGCTCATACATCAATACAGAAAAACAACAACAAAGAGCTCACAGCAGAAAAAATGGGCCGAAGACATGAACATACGACTCACAAAAGAACTGTGGTACCCAACTGACATACAGAAAGTATTCACTACCCCTAGTAATCAAATATGTAAATCAGAATAACAATTAGATCTCACTTTTCACTCATCAAATTGGCAAACATCTAAAAGATTGAGGAGACACATCTGTTTACCATTTCAAGGTTCGAACCTTAAAATAACTGTCACCTTGACACGATCAGAATTCTCATTATCAGAATAAACTGGCATCACGGAGACTGGGAAGGCTGCTGTTATTATTCTGTCTAATCTATAAGGTGTTGCTGCCCTGAAATAAATACATTTGAAAATAATTAGTGTCACACTGATTTATGTGTACATTTCCCCCAAATGGTCTAACTTAGTAATTCCTCACACTGGAATGCCCTGAGCAGACATCAGTTTCTCCTTCCTAGTACATGTCTCTGGAGGCAGGTGACAGTGGCCCAAGGAAGCAGCCTACAAGAGGATCTGTGCCCCTGCCCACCTTTGTCCGATTTCTACACTTGTTACAGCACTAATGGCACTCCATACATTACGCAAATTATATAGTAGAAAAGTGAAGCAATATATATTAAAGAATTAGAGCATTCAGGAAGAAAACAGTATTCAGAACGCTTTCTTTAGCCAAAAGTTTACCGGCAGTATATTAAATAAAAGAAACACGCTGCACCTCTTTTTCCATGTTAGATTTGTTTTAATTTCATAAACCTAAATATACAAGTTCATATGTATAGTTCATAATATATAGTTGGTGGATGTTCTTTTTCCATCAAGTTTATTTAAAACTATAGTCTAAGAATTCTTTCTGAATGGTAGTATGATTCACTTAATTCAGCTAGTAGTGGAATATGGCTACTAAGAAATAATATGGCTATAATAACAACGTTTTCAATGAGGAAAATAAATCTGAGACAAGAGATTTTCTGACTCAAAAATCCCAAAATCATTGTCCTGTACAAAATTCAACAACAGCAAAGGTTTTATAGCTATAAGCATGTAAAACTTAACATCACTAAGCAAATTCAGCCTTTGAAGACATCTGACATTTTCCCTCAAGAGATCCCATTAATATTTCTAATTTTTGTACATATATTCTGGAAAAAGCATAAGAGTTTTTATGAGGAATACAAGAAAATGTTAACAGTGGTTCCACAGGAGGGGAAGGAGTACTCACTTTTTATTTGGCACATTTCTGTGTTGTTTGAATTTCCGTACCATGTATACGGTTAAATAGGAATAATTTGCGATATTATTTCTGTTTTTACTTCATAAATTTATTTTGAAAGTTATAAAAACAGCAAGAAATAAAGAGTGCTGACATTATTTTGTCAATCACCACAAATATTTATGATTAATTAACACGGGTTACACATTCTTATAACTGTTACGCAGATTTAGCAACCTCTGTTCTGATAAACAAACCAAAGACAAAGCAATTTAAGCAAAGCAGCTCAGTGGCTAATAAAAAGAACTAGACTGGTTTCCAGCTCTGAAAGACTGGTAACTGGTTATGATCTGCCCAAGACAGGGCATTAATCATTAATTAATCATAATTAAACCACACTTGTTCATTAATAGTCATGCTTGTAAAATTCACATTATGAAAAGTCATGGGGTGGCAGATATTACAACATCACTAAGAATTAATATCCCATATTCTTAACCACGTGAATGTAACTCTGAATGCCTTCCTACAGTGTCCCCACTGGAAATGAGTCTACTTTCTAACCACAGGCAGAAAGGGAGCACTCTCCTTGCTGACTCAGCTTCTTCCCCCCATCACCCTCTGGGAGGACCCCACCACTGAACCTGTTGGTGTAAAGTCAGGACAACAGAAGGGTGACAGGCTAGACTGGTGGAAAGAAAAGGTAAAAGGGTTAACGTGCAAGGGCTCTGAAGGCAGAGCTGCAGGGTGTAGAAGAAGGCAAAGTGACAAGGAGCAGCCAGGGGTAGGTGAAGACGAGGACAGCTATTTAAATGACCATTTGGCAGGAAGACCAGGCTGCTTTAAATGGCACCACCGAGAAACTAAGCAAAGTTTCTCTACCAATCATATATGAGTTAGATTGTTCAGATAATACATGATTTTTGAATCGGCCAATACACCAAATTTGTAAATCTTTATGCAAACAGTACAAAGTGTAATTTTTAAATTTCTATAAAATGACTTTACAAAAAAATAGACATATAAATATAAGTATCTACTTTATCTTAGAATTACTGACATAAATCAAAAGCAAACAGTAAGAAAAGAAGATCATATCAAACACATTCTTGCTATGGCTTAGTGGCAAAGAACTAAAGAGAACATCCCTAAAAAGATAGTAAATATCGAGCAAAGGTGGTTGACTATGTGCTAGACATTTTACGTGTTTCCTTATTTCACCCTCACAACAACCCCATAAATTAGACATTCGTAGGCCCACATCACTGAAGAGAAAACTCATCACATCACCTTGAGGCCCTGAGGCCCCACAACCAGCCACTGAAGAGAGTTTCCAAATTCAATCAAGTCTAATGCCAAAGCCCTCACTCTGTCCCTTACCTCTTTGTACCACATCTCTAATCTCACCAAAAAGGAACATATTAAATCAAGTGGTCATAACTAATAAAAAGTAAACCGGGCCTGACTAATTCTTGTCCAGTGGCTGGGAAACAATGAAATTGTCTAAGGAGTACAAGCAGGAATGTAGTCTTTTCTCCTTCGAATTTAAGGTACACAGCGCCACCTACTGGGGAAAGAAAGGCCACCATTCCTTACAAATAAGGCTTCAGGTAAATCACTTACCTGAAGCTGAAGCAAAACAACCAGGGATGTGGGGAGACCAGATTGTGCTATAAATGACACTTTCGTGGCCTCTAAAGGTGCACAGAGAGTTTCCAACGGTTGGATCCCACTAAAAATAAATGAATAGATCAAGAACTTAACAGAGGTAAATTCAAATTTATGCCTTTATATATATAATATATATATATCATATATATATTTATATACATACACACACAATATACATATATATATGTCAAGGAATTATTTAAAGTCTATTTTTATATGAAGTAAGATGGTACTTAAGGGGCCAAAATAATTAATGCTGAGCTAATTATTAGTTTAAAAGCTAAAAGATTAGAAAATTTAAAATTCTAATAAATGCTTTAGTATATTTTGAAAGAAAATTCGCTGTCTAACTGAAAAGCTACAGAAGTATGTTCTAGAAAAGAAAAAACTTCAGTGGAGGCTTTGGGAAGGAAGTATTTGGTTTTTAATACGACAATGCTGACATACCAGTTTGACAGTTTGATCCCATGAGCCAGACACCACAAGCTGTTCACCTCTGGTCTGGCTCCAGTCAACACTGTACACCTAAAAACATTTTAAAGCGTTATTTAGAAAGCCAGAGAGCATCAAGTTCAATATTATATTTTATCTGTTTATAACAGTGATAGTCAGTTAGAACAGCTAGTTCACTGCATTGAAACATTAAATAAATCCTATAAATCTCAACGTGATGTCTGAGCAAGGGAAAGGTCTTCTTGCCCATTCCTCCAGACTCATCCCTAGCAGCTAAGGCTCCATTCAACCTTAGAATTCCACAGAAAATTTCCAAACCATCTTTGCTAAAACAAATTATATATATTTTTCAACCTACTGACAAATCACTGTTTGCAGTGCCCTGAAGAAATGTCAGAGCAGATTAGCAAGTTAGTAATCTAAAAAAGCTTGCGAGGTCAGTGTTTAGCAGAAGGCATTAAAATTCAATTAATAACCCTCTCTGGCCTTTCTAAGAAAAAGCTTACAGAAACGAGATGATCCTTTCAGATCTCTTGGTAAACAGCTTTAGTTATCCAATGCTGCTCTCAGTAAACCACTTCAAATGAATTCTCTGAAAATGTATGGAAGTATTTTAAATTCTGTTATTTTATACAACAGATTTATATACAGATCACTACTGTAAGCTAAGTTCAACAAAATATGTGCAATAAGTAGTCCTGCCATGGACCTGAGCGTATGCCATTAAATGTGATCAGCCAGCAGGCTATTTTGAATCTAAAAACTATAACTACTGCATTTGTGTAGGAAGTATGAGAGTCTGGGGTTTGTTGTGGCTTCACTGTGGGTTACCTGTTCTCCGCAGCCTAGTGTTACGTCTAGCTGCAGAGATTGAAGCCTGTTGAAGCCTGAGTTTAAAATAAAAAAATCAGTAATACTGATTCTGTCTACTTAAAAATTATGACAGTTTGTTCATCAGAGTTTTTTTGCATTAATTTTGATTTTTTAAAAAAAATATTGCATTGAGATTATCTTGACTACTAAGTTTGGGGGTCCGCTATAAATGATGTACCCACAGTGAGTGCTTCAGTAACCCCACCCAAGTCCCAACCCTGCCACTGCCCATATTCCTACAAAAGAGAGAAGAACAGCTGGAACACTAAAGAAATCACAATCCAGCAACAGAGAGCAGCTCATAAAGTACATAGAAGGGTCAGCAAAATCCAAAGAGCTGCTGCGGCCACCTGTCACTTATGGATGTAAAAAGACAGGTTTGGAAGCAATCAATCTTGAGACCTAAAGAGCTTGATTTTATCCTCTAGGACAGGACTTAGCAAACTTCTTCTGTAAAGGGCCATGTAAATATTTTAGGTTTATGGGCCATTTGTCTCTGTCACAGCTAATAAATTCAGTCTTGTAGACCACAAAAAGTAACCACAGAGGATGCTTAATAAATAGGCATAGCTGTGTACCAATAAAACTTTATTTACAAATCAGACAGTGGGCTGGGTTTGGATCTGACCCACAAGTAGTAATGGGCCAGTGAGTTGATGTGAACAGTCCAAAATAACCACAATAGGAAATCTTTACTGTGTTGAGCACCTACTGTATGCTAGCTATTGTCATAATTAGTTTAGCTCATTTAATCTTCATTTCTATGAAGTAGATACTGTGCCAAGGCCCAAACTGGTTAAGTAATTTGTCCAAATTCCCAAAGCTAGTAAGTTGCAGAGCTGAAATCTGAACCAGGGCAGCCTAATCACAGAGTTCACCCTTAATCACTCTGCTAGGCTATCTCTACAACATGCTGTGTGAAGGCACTTTTGAAATGGACATTTTCAGTGATCTTGGGCTTCGATATTAAGGGAATAAAACCCTGCCCGTGTTGCTACTGCCCTTCACTGGCGCACTATGTGGGCCAATTCCATTTTGTTTCTATGAATTATCCATATGCAAGAACTTAAAGCCTCTACCCACTTGCTGAACTCCCGCTCATCAGTCAAGACTCGGTCCATTTACATCCTTTATGGAATAAGCTCCTAACAAACCCCTCAAACATCGAGGAGTTAGATGCTTCCTTCTGTGCATTGGACAGTATCTTCACCTACTTCTAGTTCAGCATTTACCAAATTTTACTAAATTTAATGTTAAATAACTGCCATCCCTGCTAGAGCTTGGAAGATCATCATAAACAAAACCGTCTTGTTTATGCTCAATGCAACAGAAAGGGCACTCAATAAATGTGAATTAAAGTGATTTAACCAACCAAATTTATCGTCACAACCTGCACTGCTGCCAAGTAGTTATAAAGAGCTGCTGCTTTCATTTTAGAGGATAACTGAACAAATGCAGCTAAAAACTAACAGCATCAGCTCAGATTCCTCTGCCTCTGTACATTTCCAACGGGACGCAGGTCTTGAAACCTGACAACTTCTCATCTTTTAAAACTGCAAGAGCCCTAATGAAAACAAAAGACAGGAGGTAAGAAAACTGTGCTGATGACCATGCTGCTGCCAGCTGTCCTATCTGCCACACAACATTAGTGGTGTTACTGGGAAGCATTAGGACAAAAACTAAGCATAGGACACACATGGTGAGGTTAAAAGTGGGATAATAAAGGCGACTCAGTAAATAATTTATTTTCGTTTTAACGTGTTTAAAATACTAGGACATGGGAAAGTAACTAATAGTATAAGCCAGGATATTGTGTTTAAAACAGAAAAAAAAACTGTAGACCATAAGTACAAAAGCATAGTAGGATGGAAAACTCCGCTTGATGCCCAGAAGAGAAGGATCCTAGCAGGGCCTTGAGGGCTGGCTAAAATGTCAACAGCAGAAAGCAGAGGTGTAAACAGTGACCAGAAGTTCCCCCAAAGACACAAACGGGGACATAAAGCACCCTAGGAATTCGGACTAGTGAATGCTGCAAGATAACACCAAGTTTTTGTGCCCGGGGACTGTCAGTGATGGTGGCATGAACAAAACTGGAAGACTGGAGGAAGGGAGATAATGTGTAATTTTAGACACAGTGAGTTTGAGGTGACAGCCTGATAGTCAAGTGGAAATGTCTAGTAAGAACAGGGTTTGGGCATTAACCTCAAGCCCTGAAAAAAGTTTATAGACAGATGTTTGGGAGACAGCCAAAAAGGGATGACTGGATTCCATAATCCCAACTTCAAGTCAACTCACTAATCTACTCAATAAATATATATTAAGCACCTACTATGAACAAGGCATGGGGAGGGAGGGTATAATGTTAGACAAGGCAGATAAAGTCCTAGCCTTCAGGGATTACATACTCCAGCAAGGGAAGATAGGCTGTAACTAAATAAATACATAATTTCTGGTTGTAATTCTTTAAAAAAAAAACTACAAAGAAAAATAAAACAAAGACTAGAAAACAATAAAGTGGTCCGGGAAGAACAGAGACCTGAGTGCAGTAAAAGAGACAACCCCGCAGATCTGAGAGGAAAGGGACAAGCAAAGAAGGACCCTGCAGCAAGAAACAAGCCTGTGATGTTGGAGGAACAGCAAGGTCAGTTAGGAGGAACAAGGCCACAAAGGACTGCAATTATGAGTTTGTATATAATTTCTTGAAGAGGCTAACTATCAGCCCTAAACTACCACCTAGATTATAGCATCTTTCTAGTTGCTCTCCTCATCCACTCTTGCTCACCTCCAACCCATTATTCAGAATGGATAAAAAATAACCTTTATAAAAACACAAATTGATGTCACTCTCCTGTAGAAAGCCCTTCAGTGGTTCATACCACGCGGCTCCTACAACTTACCATCTTCACTCAATACTGAGATTTGGCCATGCTGTTGCTTATTACCCAAAGGTCAAAATCATGCAAAATTACGCATGACTCAGGAGTGCACAGATACGCATAAAACTAAAAGGAAAAACAAAGAAAATATAAATAGAAAATTCAGGATAATGGTTGCTCCTGAGAAGAAGGAAAAAAGGAGGAAGAAGGATAAAAATCAGAAAAAAGGAGACAGAGGAAGGACAGAATCAGTAACCAGGGGCTCCAAGGGTCCAGCTAATGTTTTATTTCTTAGGCTAGATGATGAATATGTAAGTGTTCATTATCTACTTTTAATGTCATATATATTTTATATGCAGGAAATATTTCATAGTAGATTTTTTTAATCTTCAATTTCTTTCCACTGATCTGAGCACAACAGTCAAAATGCTAACTGCCCCAAGCACACAGGCTCGGTCCTTCCCCCTCAACCAAGCACTTTCTTTTGCCTCAAACCCTGTGCTCTGACCTCTCCACCAGAATAGTTAATTCCACTGTCCCTTCAGGCTCAAGGATGCCCTCCCAGTCCAGTCCCCAGACAGGATCCTCCCCTCTCCTTGCACTCTGTACAATCCCAGCACTTAACCACATTCTAAGTTAGCCAACCAATGGCTTAAGCCTCTCTCCCCAAGAGAGGGCCAGGACCCTGCCTGACTTGTTCATCTTCTCTGCTCAGTCCCCTGCAGACAGCAGAGCTAATCAAAGTTTTTGGAATGAATGAAGGGAAACAAATCTGAATGGAAAGCACAACTCACATTACCCTACTCTTCCATCTCTTCTCCATTCCCCACTTCTCCCTTCGCTCCCACTCAAATAGAGGGCATGGCAAGCAGTTAAATTAAATATAAAAAGAAGAGAGCCGTGCAGCTATGCTTTAAAAGCAGGGTCCTCTAAAGGCCTGTCTTATGAAATGACTCTTGGCAGTGGTGAAGAAAATTAATTGGGAAACTGCAAAAAGGAAAAAAAAAACACTGAACAATATTTTGTGCTGCCTAATGAAACCTGAACCTCATCAAAACCACAGTGTGAGAGGACAAATTTTATTACTGGATCCAATTCCCAAAGAGCTCATTTTTAATCTATTGTACAGTACTGCCCTTTCTAAGTTGGTCTATTTAATTAAAAATCATCAAATAAAAACTATGTCCAGAATGTTCATACTTATCTATATCAATACAAAGGAAAGGGACACTGACTTTAATTACTGAGCAATTAGAAAGGGGTATGTATTTCTTTTAACGTGAAACTTAAATTAAAATTTTTTTCACTATAGATATTTTTAAA